TGCTGTGAATGATGATACGCAGATGAGTTGGATCTTCGATAAGGTGAATTCGACTTCTTCTATTACCAATCCTATCACTTAACCTGCCCGCCAACAATCGCTTACCTACATGTGGAGGGTAATGATAATACAGACTCCTCTTATTTCACTTGGAGAATTCTCGCGTTACGGTATTGTACAACCTGCAAGCACAATCAATACAAAGCAGTTTCATTTTCCCGTTTATCATGTGATTCCAAACGAAGACCCTCTTTGTCACTCGGCCAAAACTCGAACCAAAAAATAGCGTAACCAAAAACGTTAACAGAATATCAGGCCTACGTCCGATGTTGACGTCAGCAGACGATAGTTGGAAATATTTCATCTTGTCCCGTTATATCAACCCAGGAGACCAGATACTTGAAACTTAAAAGATTCACACACAAACCCAGGATTCATACGGCACATATAAAACTGTACACAACTGAATGATTGTCACATGAAGAGAACTTTGGGAAGTGACTTGTGTTCGTACATTTATTAACATTAAGGTAATCCTAAGCATCTGATAGATAATCCATATCTACATAATCCATAATCCATCACTCAAACTGGATAAAAAATTAGTTGTTTTAACTTCCTGCATAAGTCTTTCGCTAACTCATAAGACGGAGTACACGAAAGTGTAGTGGAAGGGTGAAGTGTAGTTTCGTCTTTGTGTACATTTAGTAACATGTAGAATTGTGCAATGTAGCTTTCATCGAATTTACTTTACCATTGTTCCTAGCTAGCTAACTGGCGTGTTGCATGCAGTTCCGTGAGCATTGTTTTGATTTCACTAATTTGGTGTAAAGTAGCCAAAGTCTACAACCAAACGATAGCTAAATGACGGCTGAGTGATGCAAGTACCCACAGTTTAATCGATGCAGCTCCACCTAGAACAAAGGATATCCAAGGAATTCTCTCATCGGAAGCTCGAAGAAGGTGTCGCAACAGCAAAAAGGAATGACCATATGGACAGTAATACTTTATGTCAAAAATAGAACTGAACTGACACTGACTGTTGGGTAAAAAAGAAAACCCGAAAACCGAAAATCATTTTAAGGGAACCGGTCTCAAGTCCAAATGACGACACTAATAAAACGAACTGGAACAATTTAATATATCAAACTAATTGTAACAACTGCAACCCTTGCTATATGGAGATCACTGAGAAGCTATGTGCTTAAATATAAGGACAAGACGTTTCTGTGCAAAGAGGTCGGGAAATTTACAAATCCAACCCGTAGAACGCGAAGATGTTGGCATGTGGAGACACAAGATACGAAAGTGAATTTCCAACGAAGTAGTTGATCGAAAGTCTAGTCAAACTAGATCTAAGTTATGCACCACTACGTGGGAAAGACCTAAATACTTGAAGAGAGCGGACTATCCGATATAGAAATAGGAAGCCATAAACTACTTAAAATCACATCAGAGATGTTTACGAGGAGTAACACAGAGAGGGCAGGGGTGGAGGTCATTGTAACACCAACCAGAATGCGAAAGCAGAGGACAAACTCCAAGGTCGCGTGTTCACCATCCAATCAGGTCATAGGATACTAGACAAGCCAATGGGAGCGCCTGGCTGAACAACCAGTCCTGATCGATCGTCAGCCTCTATTCGCAGTTCATACACCAACATACTCATAATTATTCAAAGCGCAACCAGTGACCCATCACCAGTTCTCACTCCGCTCCGCAACTCAGTGCACAAAGTGCTTGCGGTCACTAATTGAACCTAGGGGAACTCTACATGTAATTTGTGACTCTTTGGGCTCCACCCATTCTTTTTAGCATGTAATAGTGTGGTATTTTTCCCGTAGCACCTAGCCCAGCTGCACAGTTTGATTGGACGGAACAGTAAGACTTTACTTCAAGACAATAAGACTTCATAATAAGACAATAAAATCTCAAGAGGGAATCAACGAATTTGGCCGAAATAGAGCAAGGCAAAGACTTAGTTGTAGGAAAAGCAGAGAACAAGCAGATGGGAAGAAACGCTACAGCCATTCTTCAAGTTCGGATGAGTCGCCATGCTCAAAGATAAAATGGCCGGAAGCGTGCGATAGGGCAGGCTACTGGAAAGTTGGCTGGTAGGTTGGACTGAATTGATACAAGCAAATCAGAAGGGCGTTTTAACAGATGAAAATAGAAAAGGTAGAGAGCGAAATCAGATAGAGAAATGGTATAAGTCAGCGTGCTGCGGGAACTCGAGGCAAATACGATGCGCGGCTGCAAGGACAACTTTCATTACTCACAAGCATCTTTGAGAACACTAATAATAAATTGCGGGAAGCACGGACCACATGATACATTGGTACGACCGCTGCTCGGTACTACAGTGTTTTCGGTGTTTTCAGGGGTAATGAATCGGAGGCCTCATGAAAATTAAAGCGAACAATTTTTCAAGTGCCCGTATCTTCCAGTACTTTGTCCAAATAGGCTCCTGAAGCAGACCGCCACTAAACATTAGACCAGATTTAAGATTTTTTCCGCTGTACGGCGGCATGCAACAACAATCTATCCACCATATACGAAGTGTGAGGTACCTGTCAACCGATATCAAGTTAGTCCCATAACTCGTTGAGCTAAAAAACTTTCTGCATTGATCCATTAGGAGTCCTTTGGCTTACATGTACCATAAAACCATAGAGGAGCAAAGCCTTTAGTTCTTATAACGGCACTCACTCTTAGACTGAGGCTCCATTTGAGGGTTTCGTATGCTTATAGAGACAAATATTACATTCATCACCATCACCGGCTTTCTCGCGACCTGATAGAGACAATGGTGCAGCTACTCTCTTGGCAGGAGCACATGCCGTAACAAGACTGTAATGGCACCAACTTTAAAAAATAGTTGTGTTTTTGTTTCTAGCTGCATTTTTAATTAAGTACGTTTGATTTTAACCGGAAATCTAGCTGGTTCTATTCCATCAACGACTGGCCTTTGGTTGAAACGATTGACTGATTCTATTGCAGGATTTTGTTTTTACCGCTGTGAAAATACCCAAAAGCTAAAATTGTGCTGCTTACTGCATTTATGTTGGAGTCCTTCATATATAAAGTTTAGGGGTTTGAGAGATTGTTAGGGTCATTTAAATTTTCCTCAGGGGTTGGTTGGGTGCTGACAGGCTGGGAAGCTCGCCTTAATGTGAAATCAAATGAGCCGACTAGGAAGAGTGAGCAGATCCATTTGCAGCGCAAATTTAAAGTTATTTGCTGAGGCAGTGGAATGGCTCCAAAACTGTGAAATGCCGCTCACAAAAACAGTTTTTAAATGACCTTCTAAAGCTCAGAATAATATTTACTATGCACTTCAGCAATTTCGCTCTTGATTAGAGTAAAAAATAGAAGAAAATGGAACCTAGAGACGGTTTTGCAATGCTTTGATTTTGCGTTCTCTTAGGAAGACTTCAACGCTTGGTAAGTAGTTTTTCTGTGAAGCTAATCTATAAGACAGAAAAAAAGCTGAATTGATAAACGACTGTTGTGTTATTCATTTAGTGGCAGCGCTTCAGAAGAGACGAGAATCAATCTTTATGGAAGCATACTCCTGCTTGGGCTACGAGGTGTTGTTCGTGCTACCAAAATCGTAAAAGAACAGACAAATTTCAACGATCGCAACGCTCACTTTCATCGACAAAAGAAGTGCACCCAATGTTTCCAAGCAAATCGGCAATACCAATTGCGTGAGTAAAAATTACTCTGTAAAAACTATATTTTGTGACGGCGTGTTTTGATTCCACTACACTACTGCCTAAGGTAGTTGCGCTTCGTTTCATTAGCTTGTTGAAATGAAATCATTTTTATCTGACTAGCACTTGGCCTGGCTAATCTTCTGTAAAAAACGCTATTAAAATTTTGTTTTTTAAAATAGGGAATATCCATTAGCATCCAGCTAGATATCTGCGCACCATGGAGAGGTTGAGAAATGCTGGCTAACCAAAAAGCTGTACATCCTACCATTGGGCCTATTTGAAGATTAAATGTTTGACCGAATATTAGGTCACATTAATTAATATGCAAGGCCTGTGTTAACTGTGTACCTATTGAATCAATGAGGCACGAACAGGAACAGTCTTTGGGAGTAATATATACCGCCCTGATGGAAATACTAGCTTTCTGGGAATTCTTATTGTATGATTTTATTATTTGTTGCAATCAAATCGTCATACGATGCTTGCGAAATGTGGTGGACGTACAACAAATTGACCCAGACCAACAGCAGTTACAGGGAGCACTAAATCTAGTTACGTGTTGTTTACTTATCTGGTGAAGGCCATTTTTGGGGAAGGTTTGCATCATTATTATGCATGAGGCGTTTTAAGTCTCTCCTTCACTTTATAATAGTTCATTTTCACCGGCGCGTTATATCAAAAAGATGGTGCTGTTGCCTCAATACTATGGCAGTAAACTTTAGGAGATAGCTTTCATAAGCACCACACTTTTTTAGTTTTCATCTAGCGCCTCGTAGGAGTGACAGTACTTTCTAGACTGTCGGCCTCAGTACATCCCATAATCTACAAGTGAAACTGTTGTTAAAAAAGTCAACAGTCTATTCTCGGCTATTTAAAAAGGGCGAAAATAGGTTGCGACAAACGTCTCTGATAGTGAAGTTCCATTTGAAAGATCACTTACAATCTATATGTAAGCCATTAAATTTGAAAACCTGTGTTTTATCTCCACCTAGCGAATCCAGACACGTGACCGAAAGAGACATTCATTCTGTTGGATCTGCGGATTCGGTCATTTCCAGGAACAAAAGTGCTCAAGTAATTCCAACTTATACTCTGCCCATCATCCATCTGGTTCCAATAAGGGCGGTTTTAATCACTCCATCAAATTTGGTACCAGATACCGATCCAGAAAGAATTTACGACGAACACACATTCGAGAGTTACAAATTTCATGTGATTCAAGCCTCTTGTGGTGTATTTCAAATTTCTACGAGCTCATCAGTCAATGAAGTGGGGGAATGGATGGCAAACGATTTATTTTCTGGGAAGCAAGTGCTCAATCAACAGGTCCGCTATGTTGGTACTCTACTGCAGCCAGAGCAGGCCGATAAAATATTTGAAGACTTGGTTCATTTGACATGCATTCGAACTAGTAACAAATCAGACAGTGTTCGTTTGGTGCTTCCCATCGTGTTTGAACGGATAACCATCACGCTTGAGCGGAATGAAAAAGCTGTACTGAATTTCTACCAGAGTAGTGCGGGGAACACCAGACCATCATTATTTGAAGGAAGCAGACTATGTCGGATAAACTCCAGGCTCCTAAGTGCCAGTGTTCATCCACCAGAACGAGATAGCCACATATATTATACTGTTCTTTCCGCGCCTCAACACGGACATTTATTTCTCAAGCAGTTAGACAAAAATATTGAAAGCCAATCCAGCAGACGTACGTACCTGGGAGTTAACTCCCAATTTACTCAGCAAGATATAAACAGTGGCCGCCTATTCTATATATTTCGCCGTGTCCCGGATGACAACTCAATACGTGAAAAACTTGAAAATTTTAAAGACGGATTTGAATTTCGTCTACATGTTCCCGGAGCACAGAGGAAAGAACCAAGTTATTTCGCTGTTGTCGTGAATACTATATCAACGACAAACTTCACTGGTATTTGGCGAATGGGAGAGGTTAAACTGGTAAACAAGGACGGTGAAGTGTCTGAAGGTGGCATCCTTGTGATCACCTCAAAACATCTGTCTCTGGAACCAAAAACCTGCCCCGAATACACAGATGCGTTGCAGTTCCGGGTTAAGACGTTCCCCAAACACGGCACATTAAAACAAATAGGGAGAGATAAACAATCATCGTATCAAATTGAGCGCTTTGTTTTCTACCTTTATGATGTGGTTGAAGAAAATCGACTGATATACGTGCATGATGGAAGTGAATTTTTCCGAGACGAATTTCAATTTCAGCTTGTCTGTGCTGAATCCCCCATGGACGAACAGTTTCAAGATGGTCGCACAAATTTAGCCAAGTTTATGGGAGAAGTTGTGAGTCAACCGATAGATGGGACGTTTCGTCTGGTGATAAACGCAATCAACGACAACCCACCCACCATCTTCGCCAAAAATGTGATTTTTCGGTTTAATTCAACAACAGTTATGCCAAAAGGGTGGCTGAAGGTTAATGATTACGATCTTCAACTATCATCCAAAGTTCCGACCCACTATTCCATCAAGTGGGCTATTCTACACAATTACCACCGACTCAATATTAGATATCCAAAGTGTGGATACTTTTTAAATGTCAAATCCGGCCAGAAACTTACCAATTTTACCATGTATGAAGTTCAGCAAAGTGAAGTAGCCTTTAGAAACCAGGGTGCCCCACTCTGCTCCATCGTGCTCACTGTGAATGATGGCCTATTTTCATCTAATGTGCCTGTACTACTCAACGCGTCACGGCCAATTTTTCAGGCCTTCGGCTCTTCAATCGAGGTAACAAGACGTAAGGACTCGCGGTATCCACTCTTCTTTGAAGTGAGTCTGAAAATTTGATTATCATCTAATGAATATTGTCCTGAGTTCATTCTCCATGTTGGCTTTCATGCAAAGTTTAAAATCTTAGCTATATTGCATGCAGATGTTCTGTAAAGCTTTAGATTTACAGTAAAAAAAATCCCTACCCATAAGACCAACGCTGAACTATGGAAAAATCTAATATTTACTTGGAATTCATTATGCTCCTGGTTTATTCGGTTTTAAAATAAAATCTTTGATACCATGCTAATTCTTCATGAACGATACCAGCCGCTCAGGCTAGCGCCGTAACAGAAGTTCATAAAATCTGTAATAATCGTGCAAGTAAATAAAGAACAGGATCATATAAAACATTATAAGGAAACTGATAACCTGGCTGATATCCGCAGAAAACCAAAATGATGGCGGCAGTATCTAAATTCTAGAGGCTCAAAAACCAATAGGATATTTACTGGAATAGATTAACCTAATTTACATTTGCAAGCGGAACAAAATAATATGTGTCCATAAAGGAAACTACCCACAAGGTTGCTGAAAACTTTTCGAAAGCCCACGACCGGTTCCACCCTTCTTGAGGCTCATCAAGTGAGTGCAGTCCCTGAGTTCCGTCAACCTTATGTTTTACTTGAACCCAAATTGGATTGTTTTCGAGAAATACACTCATTTGCAAATCAATTCCGTTTTCACGGGAGACTCAAATGAATCTCTCGTTTATGATATTCTACAACTGAGTGTGCTGCACACAACAATTGCAATGAAGTGTAGCATTACCTGAAAACTCTAGACTTCTGGATAAAGTTGTCTAGCAGAACGGAAGACGCCTCGTCCCTTTGTAAGAATATCAATGAAATTACAATAACGTTTCAAATGCAGCATCGGGACTGAGGAAAGATTTCATTCTGACATACCATTACGTTTATTTACAACTCATTAGAGACAGCCCATCTTTGGAGCAAAGATTGCTACGTGCTTTTGCTCGATGAACATCATGAGTGCACCCAGCTATAGCAGAGAAGTTGTCTGGTGGAGAATGTCACTTTTATGTGTTCCATAACTTGTCGGGCCTGCACCAAACTTAGCCTTGAACAGCTGTAATCTCTTCTCTACAAAAATTAAAGCTTACCGCAAATTTTGGCCTTTTTTGCAGTGAGAATCGCTAACTGCTACCTTTTTGCTACTACGCACTACTATATTCACCCTAGTCAGTATGAAAAAGGTGACTAGTAAGTACAGTTAAAATTCGCTTGACCATTAAGTGTCCAAGTGTTTGGATATCACCATCTATTTTTGCGCTGGAACTCACATGGAACAATTTGGTTCACTTTCTTCATATGTCTTGTTCCACCTAGTGGTTGCTGCGTATAATGATAACATTAGCAACCATGGCGTGTTTGCAAGCTCGGTGTTTGCACCCTCGGTGTTTCCGGGGAATTTGAGGACACGTGCCTTTGAAGCTCGGAGATTTTTAGCAGAAGGCCAAGCTTATATGGCAGACAAAATTCGACCATTGCTTTATCACTCGATCTATGGCCTCGGTATCACCAGTCTACTGCAACACAACCAAACACCTCAAATGCAAAGGCTGCCCGAATGTATACTGGTAACGTACAGGATGACTGTGAGATCACAGAGGGTGATACATCGGTAATGTGTCAACAGCCACCTGACCAGCAACCTGCATTGTCGAAGGTTATCTCAGAAAGAACGCATTGGTCGTTTTTGTCACTTTCTTGTCCGGGCGAAGATTAGCCGCACTTGTGGTCGACCATTCGTAGGGTAAAGGATGCGTGTTCGGTTATTAGCTTCTCGGCTTTTCAGCACAGACTGGCTTCACTTCAAGTACAAGTTCCATAGTAACTTACCATTTGTTTCACATCATCAGCAGGTACACTTTTACCGTTGGATGCAGCAAAATTACCCATGGACAACTTCACAAGTTGAACATATCCTTTGTTGATTTTAACGTCTGTTTTCAGCAACCGTATAAAAAGGTGTCTGGAAGTAGAATTGAAGACAAACAGTTAGAAGCAGTACGCAGAGATTGTTGCTAGTATGTGAATGCGCAGCTTGAAGACTGAAAACAATATTTTGGGTGTGCTACAACTTAAAGCCATCTTAAAGCAATCTGTAGCACAGTGCAGCTGTTTTGCGTGGAAGAGGGAAATTTTGGCAGTGAGTTCACCGCACTATGTCCTACATTGTTAAGGTTGGAAGGATTTAGGGACGGCATTATCCTCCCATCCAGAAACACGTGATAGCGGAATTTTGTTAGACTAAGATGACATACCTCATATATAACAACTGTTTACAGACATGCCTTCAGGATATCTAATCACAATATACGTAATGAATCTTCTGAATTATTAAAAAAGCATGTATTTGATCAACAAGGAAATGGCGATTGTTATGTGATTGTGTGAAAGACCAAAAGATGAGCAAATGTTTTTCAAGGTGCAAGAATCTTTAGGCTCTTCTTACCCCTTGAATGAACTAGCAGCATAATCATTAAAATTTTCAGTGGTTCATGAGAGGGCAATTTGACGGATAATGGAGCTAGAAATGGAGTATATATAGGGTAATCAGCTTTATTATAGAAATAACAAAAAAGTACCACCGACAGGATTAATTTCTGAACCGGCGCGTCATTGTTCAAACGTCCTGGTACGTTGTACGTTTTATTGTTTTGGATGTAAAATTTGATATATCCCCATAAAGGTTGGATAATGTCATGTACGGCTAAATTAAGTAAAACTTTTATTTTAATTTTACTGATGTAAAAATAGTACACTAAATGGCACTAAATGTTTAGACCCATTTCCCTAATGATTAATTATAAGTCTGCGCTGCTATTCAGTGTGGCCAGAAACGCATCCGTACAATGGCGGATGCGTAACGTTGAATCTTGTTAAGAAACTCGCTCAATGTTTCATGTATCTGGTGGTATCTCTGTGTGTTTGCTGCCGAAGCATTCTAATCGGGGTCCAAATTGCTCTCAACTGAATCTCAGCTTCCACTCAGACAAAATTTTGCTCAAAGACTCATTATCAGGTTTGAAACCCATTTCTCGGAGCAACTAATGAATGGACGGGCGTGTGCAACCCAATATGTAATCCTGGACTCCATTTTTAACTGGTGCATCTGTATATCTACTAGGTGTCCGTCTGGAAGAACAAAAGAGCGGTAGTTAAAAAATATTGTGCAAAACCGTAGTCATCGGAAACAGTAAGTCGGCCAGTCACGGTAACAAGAATGTTTGTTTACGGTCGAAGACATGGAAAACTGTCAGTTTCCAGTCACACTTCCAGCCGGAATAAAGGTCAGTGTTGCATGCTTTGTTGTGACTGTTTTTGTGCTAGGGTTCAAGCACTACATTGTTAGATCCTAAGAAAAATTTGCGAGTTTGGCCGCCATTTACAATACAGTTATGCAATTTCATGTCGAATTGCGGTAATCATTCTTTCAGTTGTTCCTTCCTTGCTTTATGCTTTCAAAGACACGCAGAGAAGGAAATTAATAAATACGTCGAAAAAGCTTGATGGCATAAGAAATAAATATATATCTTGTAAATCTGTCATTTATTTGCAAACCCGAAGTAGAATTTCCTGACAACTGATTTAAATCATCATAGCCGCCTTCCGATATCCCTAGAGAACGAATCCATTCCACGACAGTTTTACCGCATGTGTTAGAATCAAAGTCGGAAGTGCCCGTGTCGGTCGCATTCGGAATAATGAAATCGGCTGAGGATAACTTTTACGCTTGGGATTTAAATTTTGCAAAATAGTAAATCAACGCACGCCTTAAAAGAAGAAAAAAGCAAACACAGACTGGTGTCATTTGTAAATCTATGGCCCAATACTTCTCCAGGATGAGTGGGTTGTCCGGGCTCTTTTTGACTCGGGCTTCGAACCAGCCATGAATGTCTACATCCGTATTAGGTTCTGCTAGTCGAATGTATATAGTATATATATGTATAATTTAATAAAGGGTTGAATTAGACCAGATATTCTAACGTTATACAAGATTTTCTGATGGCGAGTCCCTCCAAGGAGGTCCATTACTTACGTTCCAGTAAGCAGCCTTGTTTACACCCCTCACTAAGTGAGGGCACTCGTAAAAATGCCAAGGAAACGCTATCGTTGCTCTGTTGTACTTTTTGGATGTCACTGTGAATGAGTAGCCGACTGTCTACTAACATAAAATTGGAGATGACCAGTTTCTTCTTGTCTGAATGCATTGGCTTCTGGCTGCAATGCTAGCCAATTTCTGAAGACGGCCGGATAATGACGGCTATTTACCCAATGGTTATGAGTGTCTCAGTTTTTAAATGGTCGTCCTGGTCATCCACCGTAAAATGGACCACTTTTGGACTTATACAATCACGTTACTATAACCGTCTATTAGGAATGTGCTGCCTTCTCATGCAAATTATGGGTTCTTTTAGCTGCTTCTGGCATAATGCATATAATGTCCAGCTTAACTTTATTAAACCAATCCAGCTGTTTCCATGGGCTTCGGAAGCTATTACTGACAAACAAAGACAAAGAATTTACTTCCTTCACTAGATCTTTTTTTGTTTCGTTTAGTGGTACAATATGGTAACAATTTTTAGGCGTTCAAGTGCCCTTGCTTCTTTTGTGTCCAGGCCTTTGTAGGCGATCGGATACATACACCCCTAGGTCTCGTTGCCTATGTGAAGTTTGATAAGTTGCCTTTGGTAATTTTTTAGAGACATTCACTCGAGGAAGCTCATTTTCACCTGCGAGTTTCGCAGCAACTGGAATGTAGACTTTAGATGGTATATCAGAAGTAGACGTGTGCCATACGGGTTGGTAAAAAACTTGCAATAGTGCTTACGACGTCTAGTCGGCATTCTTTTGAAACTTTATGGAATCTCATTCAGTGGCCTGGTCAGTAACTAGGTAACATATGATACCAAATTTGTTTGCTACAAAACACTCTACTTTGAACATTACGGCAGGTAGTCCACTTCAGTCCGCTTAAATCAAGCACTCATTGGTCTTCCCAGAGGCAAATTCGCCGCTATCAGGCCGTTGTTATTTCTACTGCACTGCAGGATGAGTCATATTTGGATTTAAATGCGCAACCACGGGGGTTCGTTTAAGGAAGTTTTTTTCAAAAGCCCAGTTTATGGTACGTCCAAGAACCATGGGACCTTCTAACGTGTTAGTTCACACTTCATATTTTAAGGTTAGACGGTTGTTCAAATGCTATTGCAAGCTACTGAACTTTGTATGTATCAAGCGCACGATTTTCTCAAGCCGGCTGGGGCCGAAAGAAGGCAGTACAATGACAATGAACAAGAAAGGATTACTTGCTCTAGGCATCTATTATTCAAACCTTGCTGTATAGTTTGCGCTACTTTACAGGCCGACGTATGACGGAAAAAATTGTGTGGTTATGTAAGTCAGTTCCTATGGTGATATCTCAGTCCGTGTCACAGATAAAAATCCAAAAACACTACTTAAATCGATAGATGTCATAGTGGCTGATTCATTTTTACGAATGCTTACTAAAAATGTGTTGTCTCCAGATTACCTGAATTGATCTAATGGAAAGTGGCCCATTTTGCGCCGTATTCTCTTGGGAGAAATGCTTCACTATTGAAAAAGGGTTAATTTGATCAATCAGATATGAATAGTCTGAGGAGGAGATGTTCAGTACTTTTAAGTACTCTTGCCCTTAAGAAGGCAAAATTTAAGGTCAGAAAAAGAAGACTACATGGTGTGCAAAAATATATTTCATAATGAAAAGTGAGTAGCTCTTCCAACCACCAGTGATATCTCGGCTTTATTAGATTTTGCTATTTGCCATTTTTGTCAGTCAATATGAAAATCCTTCTAAACATAAATTGCAAAAACTTTGAAACCGAATAAAGGCTTCAGACCGGTTTCGTTCAGTATGGAATTAAATTTCAAATCAAACCGTGAACTGTACTGGATATGGTTAGAGGTATGCAGGAAATATTTCCCAAAGAATATTTTGCCATTAGTATTATAGAAAACTGTTGTCAGGTATTATCCGAGTAGCGTGAGTGTCGCAGATTGTTGTCCTTAGGCTGGTACTTCATGAAGGTGTTTTTAGAAAAAGCGCGACGAAATTCTATCTAGGGGACTCGCATATAACGTTTGCCCTCCGCGTTCAAGAAAACTAAATTTCAAAAGACGATAAAAAGTATTTCAAGTCCAAAAAGTTTGCCGTTGCTTCAGTCTACTAGTTCACGTATTCTTATCAACAAGTAACGTCAACAAGATAAATGGTTTATCGTGTATTCATCTATACTGAATACGACATCTTATGATAATACACAACTTGCGCTTTCTCTGGTTTGCAGTTTTGCTGCCACTTAATACCGACGGTAACTAGAAACAGTAGAAAACAAAACAGGCTGACCTTAGTGTTGCTCCTATTTTTGGTTTATATGGTACGACTTCGTTAGACATGCCTATAAAAACCCTATAGTTGCCGCATTTTATAGAAATATCATTAATTCATTAGGCCTTTGTGTAAAGTCCAAATTGCTTAGACAATTTTTAGTCGTGTAATACACAAGTAGGATTTCAGCTAGATCTTCTTGTGAAAGACGTGCATCAGTGAAGAATACACCAGTATGTATGCATAAATATCTGCGTCACTCCTTATCCGAAAGGACTCGTAATAAGAGAAATGTTGTAGGGTCAATATCACAGAGGGTTTCATTAGGTGCAGTTTTAGAGAGACAAATCTAGCTTGTGGATCGAATGCCGTGGCTCACATATTTGTGAAAAACAGTGATGCTTGTGGACGAGAACCAATTGTGTTTAAATCAGATCACACTGTCTAGCGTGCGGAAAAATATCACGATTCTGCTCCTTCATCCGGGGGTTAAGCCTGCGAGGAAAATGAAAAATTGTTACAGTGTTAACAAGCTAACATAAAAATGAATAAACTAACAAATTTATATTGTCCTTATTATCAAGCAAACAGATGAGCACTGTCCGCATTCTTTTCCGTCGGCACGGTCATATAAATTTACGTGTTCAACCAGGAAACCATCTCCACAAAGTGTTCATAAGCTATCTCTCATTGGCGAAACTTCACTGAGGGTTGAGATGTGACTGTCACCGATAGGAAAAAATTGTCGGAATGACTCTGCAAATATCCCAAATTTCCGACCGGCATCATGGCCTCATTTGGTTGGCAGTATCCCAACGAGCGTTTTCTATAAAAGTGGGGTGCATTAAGAAATGTCTACAAAAGTCATAATACTGACGAGTGTAATGCTGTGTTTGGAGACTGTACGACCTCTAGGTTATGCGTGGATGGAAAAAAGTTGTATTGTGTACTAGGCTATATTTTTGCTTCCTCATATGAGTGTTATCTTTCGGACTGAAGATTTTCGCTCTTACATGCCAGTTAAGTTTTTTTCCGTCAAAATGTCACAAATAAATATGATACCAAATAGCAAATTTCAAAATGACAGGAAAGTGATATAACTGGCTTTGACTTTGTCCCCTGACTCCCTCTCTCCCGCAACGTTCATTCCCCAGAAGTTTGGACAACTGATCAGGACGTATATCAACTCGAAAACCGGGATGCTATACTTCTCAACAACACAAAGAGTAAATAGTAGCTGAAACTAGGACAAGCATGCTTTTTGTTTTTTTGTTCACTCTGGTATCAACGGGACATACACATTAACAGATAGAAACGTTTATATCTTATACTAAATTCTTTAAAGCATAAGGACTGCCTTCAAAAATTGCATTATTAGTCACTGACTATTAAAGGCCAAACAGTGATGGGTTTTTGGTTCAAGTAGCATACAAACATTGTAGAGATAAGCGGGTGCTTAAAAAATTAATCCGGGACATACAACTTGACGTAGTTTATATGACTTGACACAAGGTTTATGAAAATTCTTCAACGGCCAACTAAAAACTTCTCCCTTCAAGACTAGGTTGGTATGAAGATGAGTGTAATTTGAGTTAAAGTAGAACATAAGGGTGAGGGAACCTCGGAGACTGCCTACCTAATTACTTAGAAGAGGAGCGAAACCGGTTGTGGGCTGTCAGAGTTTTCGGCAACGTTACGTTTAGTGTATTGTGTCCATACAAGGTATCGCGATATCCCAATTGATGTACCAACTGAAGGATACGGCGGTCTGATACAGCACATACAGTCCCCTCAGAACATCACCAACGAGAGATTTAGCTGGGTTCCAGGTGAATCTTTCTATGGAGCCAAATTGGTAAGCAAGTGAATGCATTTAACTTCTATCAATCTTATTTCGCTCTTAAACACTGAATCAGGTGTGATGTTTGTAAGTTAAGTTGATGCTAGTTCGAGAACCGTTATAAGCATTTAAATCATTCTTCAACTAAACTCGATGCATAAGATTCGCTTTCAGTTTCATTTGGAACAACTCTGAAAATACAAGCGTTCTCAATTTTATATGACGTTTGCTTACAATTTGAGAAAAATCTTGGTGAGTGCACCACTTTTTGTCCTGCCAGGTAAATCTGACTGTAAAATGCGAGTCAAATTCAGTCTCAGAATGCACATCACCTCCGATGAAGGACAAACATGAAAGATTCTGGTTAGCCATCTAAATATTTCCATTCAAACGGGAATACTCATATTCGAATGTTGTGTACGTTTTAGCGTCAGTGTCATAGGTTTACGTGTTGGAACTTTCTAAACTGGAAAAATGTAGTCACAAACAATGCTAAAAATTAAAAATTTACCGAAATTTCCAATGAAGATTTTTGGCCAACGGTGCTTATTCACTGTATGTTGTCCATCGTGAGACAGCCTCTTACCACTCAGGCTGGCAGTGCTGTTTCAACTCACGTTGCCTAGTTCCACATAGCCTACGCCAGGTAGCCAACGCTTTCATTTAGTGTTGCTGTCGACGATGATGACAGGTAACAGAGAGAAAAGCTCTGATTCAGATACCAGACTGGATTTTCAGCGAATACGTAGATGAGTGGTCACCAGCAGCATCTGAATTGTCATCCACCATACGATACACATTAGTACTGGAAAAAGACGCCAAGTATTAGGTGTTCTATGGGTACTTCTATGGTTTATTCATTGTGTCCATGATTGTTCATTGCATAATTTTTCAAAGTTTAGTCTGATAATCATAATATTTTCCTAAAATAACTATCTTGCTGCCTTTACTTTCGGGTATTATTGTCATAGGTTTCAACCAACATTGAGATGGCACCAAATGCAATCCATGTATATCTACACACGGGTTCATGCTACGGAAGCCTCACGACGGAAAACTCAACGACACCTTTGGACTCGTTCACATACGCAGATATTCTTGATTACAATATTTACTTCCGTGTGACCTGGCGATACGTATTGGAGAATCAAACCTTTAAAGATCCGTGCATCTTTCACCCCCAAAGAGGCTCCGAAATGAATATTGAGAATCAACAAGATTTTATTATTTTGTTGGTAACAATGTCTTTTGGGAACGAGCGCTGGCAGGAAAAGGTTCGAATATCTGTTGTTCCACATACGTCAGCTGGGGCCCGTTTGTTGTCGTCAGGTGGCGGAACACAGAGAGTTGTGGAGTTCAATACAAACTTGAACATGGAGCTCGGTGAACAGACAACCCTTTCATTCAAGGAGTCAGGCAACCAAGATATTCATTTTGGCTGCAATGAAGGGATGTTTCGGCTGAGAAAAGTATGTTTAATTTACTGGCAGCATGCATGCTTTTGTATCTGAATTGCCTCCTTTCACATTTACCTCCTAGTTTTAGTGATACACACGTCCATGTTTTTAGTGCTTGAGTACTGCAGTCAAATAACTGGCAAATGAACTATGCGTTTGTCCATCTGGGAAGAAATGATGGAAAGAATTTCGTTGTTCTGTATCTCACCAACATCTGAAAAATTCAAAAGATCTGATCAACTTACTCAAACGGTGTCCAAGGTATATGGCGTGTGTGCCTTTCCGCGCCTAGAGTTACTTTCTTCACAACATTGTAGATGGACTTAAGTTTAGCAGACGTAAATCAAACACAAAGAAATGCTGCCCATGCCATCGACTGTGGTAAAAGGCACCATTAAATTTACCATTTTCGATTACAGTAATCAACCTTACTTAAGTGAATAATGATGAGTGCTCAGTCATATATTTTAATCCATTGTCGTATCCTGAGTGGGACAGTTTTAGTGAGTTTTCTAAAGGAGGGTTCATGTCTTGTGGCCTTAAACAGCTGAGCCCTCAAATTATGCTTTGCCAAGTCCTTAGTAAGATAGATTACTTCGGGTATTCGTGATATTATGGAGCGGAATAGCATACATTGCTGTCTTACGTTGCGCAAATATTTTAGGCTCAACAACACGTAGACCACGAATGCATGAAATGTGACACGTCCTTAAGGACAAAAATCTTCTGCGTCATGTGGACAAATGACACTTGATGTTTGGACGTGTGCATTGACAGCATTCTGTAGCGTCAATTAGCTTGCGTGCCAACTTTCGCGCTATCAGCAAAATAGCTTTCTGAAGGAATGTTCCGGCTGTTTACGTACCGCATTTCAAGGCAAAACGGGCTGTCAATATCTCTTGAACCCATATCCCAAAATACTCTACACTCTAATTGCTCATGAGTGAAAACCACGAATGACTTACTACGCACAAAACATTTGTTGGAGCTACTTACTGCAAAGAATCTCTAGTGGCGGTCGAGGGAACGGCCAGTTAGAACTGTCAAGTGACATAAAGAATATGCAAGGATGATGAAATGCACAGAGGGCGTACTGCTGCCAATTAAGTAGAACAGCAGCTGTTCAGCCTCGTTCTTGACGTTGGAATTTACCACCAGCAGTGCAAAGTTGACAAGGTAAGGTTGTCAGATCGAAGCGATGGAAATGAACAATTCTGTTCGATAACTGCAACATCAGCAGCAGTTTTGTGGTGTGTTATGATCGATGTTGTAATGTCAAAGCTACATTGTTTGGAAACATGTTTACAGTTTCCCAGTGGGGTATCGGCGCTTAGAAACTTCAGTTATTAATCAATGCGAAATTCTTTTGTTCCGTTCAATCTGTGCGGAACTCATTTAGCCCGTCCAATGGTTCGGCTAATAACCTAATAATGACTAGAGTAATTGTGGTCAAGATCGAGAACACCTATCAAATTTTGTACACACATCATTCCTGGGATGTTTTAAATAGTTAATTCGAGTTTTGCATGCACATTTTGCTGATCACCCTACATATTTTGGATAATTAAATACTGTGCTCTAATTTTTGGGTAATTATAAATGATATCTTAGTATACTCTGCTCGAACAGTAAGCGTATTTAGCCCAAACTTCAAGCACACTGAATGAGGAAAATCTCCAGGATTGGTACCCACTCATCTGGTCCCCAGTGCTAAGAAACACACCGTGAGCTAAGAGTGCCGAGTGAAATATAACCAGCAGTACATATTGTATTCTAGTCGAAAATTACTGAAATTTTAGCTGCAGCGCAACGTTATACGGTGGGAAACATTGGCCTCTCACACAACCGCTCCCCATGTTGTCCATTTAGTTTATCCTCAGATTTCCGCGTTACTGTCTTTGCAGTTTTAGTAGGTGGCCTTAAAATAATGTCAATACGCAAATACGGCAAGTCGTTAGAAAATCTCGTCGTGGGCCCTTAATGATAACCCTAGTAGGCTTAATCCAATGAGATGCTTAAGGTATGTTTTTGTTTCCCCTTATAACCACTGCGTACATTTGCAAGTGGGTGTTAGCGATTTTCATCCGCTGAGGTGCATCAGATCCAAGCCTGCTGTAAACCAAATCATCACGCATCGCCTACCCCTAGTTTGAGAGAATTTGTTCTGTTTGGCTATAAAATAGACATCTGCTAGTAAGTTATTTCACTTCCATGTGCTGGGCGAGTTTGAACGGTTTACACAAAGACTCTCAATTCGCTGGCTGTTGTTCCTCTCGTGTGGACGGAATAAACAGAAATTTTGATCAGTGATCACAGCGAAGAAAAAGTATAAATATTATTAGCTGTATGCATTCAAGAAATCTGGTTCTCATAGTTTTCTTTAAAATTTCTTCAAGGGAAAGCAAACATTCGGGGAAACTCTCGTATACATAGTTGATAAAAATCGACTGGCACATGCGGCAAGACAACGTGTTAATTCACAAACGACTTATTTGATAAACTCAGTTGAACTAAATGAGCGAATGGGGCAATAGTACAAGAATTGCAAAGTTTTCTAAGGAAGAGTAATTGTAGAAGAGCTCTAGCTGAAAATCTACGGCCCAACAACTGAGCAATGTGAGGTCGCATTTTTCTATTGGCACTTCAGGCCAATTTTGACCTTGAATTTGATAACTGATTTCTTGTCGAACACTTCAGGGTGCATGCATTGACTACTTTACTAAAGGATATTTCAAAACGAAAACAAAAAAGTTTTGGAGAAGTGTGTAAACAAGATAGGAGGTGACTGCAGTACATGGAAAGAAACAAATTGTGAACCCTACGAAAAATCCATTTTTCTGATGGGAATGCACGTTGGATCTGCTACAAGATGTCCAAGTGAATATGTCATATAAGCTGAATGTAAGCTCCAGAAGTGAACCACGGAAAATGAGCATGGTAGATTACCATAAACTGAAGCAGTCGAATAAAGTACATCAAGTGCGACTTTACGACTCTGATACAAACGACCAATTAGACCACTAAATTGTGCAGGTACTGTGGTTTAGTTGTAGGTCTTACACAGGAGAATATTCAAGTATTTACCATAAATTGGGTTTGCCGCTGTCCGTCTACATCGTCATGACGGAACCAAGTTATCTGCCTTCAAAACTGGCTTAAACTCGGAATTCAGCCGGAGCAGAGCACGAAGCAAGTCACTCCATGCTGTTGTGAAATCTTCGGCAAAACAACCACACCAGGCATTTATGGCATTTATCTTTACGAATTCTATCACTGAAACACATGCTTCACACATAATGCACCCTCAGTCACAAATTTGCGACGGCTGAAATAAATAACGGATGACGTCATGATTCCCATTCATTTGAATAAGTGTACGCGTTGAGAACAAAACGTTAAAACCAAGGATTATGACACATCCTATCGTGTTCCGAGATGACCTTTAATCCGGCATGTTTTACGCCTGTCAGTGAGAGAGGGACACGTGCATTAGAATAAAATACTGTTTTCCGGCTACTCCAAGAATCTTTTCGATAATTCTTTAGTCATTCTGACAAAAGAAGGATCGGTGAGGTTGCTTGCATTTTCAGCTTATTTTCGAAGCTAACTTCTAGCTAGATCCATTTCGGAACATAATTGAAGATTAGAAGAAATGCAGTGTCATACTAATATGACAAACCCTAAAGAATCGCAACGAAACGTACCCAACCCACATGAATTTCCAATGTTTATTTGTTATGCTGACCTGGTATAACTTACAATGAAAGAATAACAGAAAAATCTTCTATGGGACGTAACAAGAATTGAAGAAAAGGTATTCGTCGAGTAAAATGGCAAGCAAGCTATGTAAACACTACGTCTTTATTCAGAGCAATGTGAGGTTATAAACGAAGTAGCTAGGTATATAGGTTATTTAGAATACAGCGTTGTGCGCAGCAGCAGCAAGCATCTTTTGAAATCCTGGTGACAAGAATGTGGCTAAACGTAGAAAAGGACATCAATATGGCACCCAAGAAGTTTGTATTTGGGTTTTATCCTAATCATCCAGTGTAGTGTAACTTGACATAACTTGTTTTGAAGAAGTATGGCCAGGCCTGAGTCATTTGTTCATTTTTATCTGCATAAAAGCACTGAATATTTGCCGAATCGCTGCGAATTCTATGGTGACGTGTGACTTTTTTTATGATTTATGACAAACCTATTTATAACTCTTCTGAGTTCCGGCATTTGAAAAATACATTCCGCTCTTTGTGTAGGCCCCAGTACTTGGAGAGTTGGTTTTAATCACACCAAGTTTTCAAAAACCGGGGATTAGACGTTTCACACTCATGGATGTTCTCGCAAAAAGAATAGTTTATCGATTGCCGCTTGAAAATCTTCAACAGCCTAAGGACAAAAGCAATGTGAATCCATTTGCCGGGGAGTGTTTTGAAATTTGGTGGATAAACGACCCAACTGGTTGTCCGCAGCATCATTTCAGCTCTGTGCAATGGAGCCCAGATTTGGAGAGATCACAAGAGATCTGCACACAGATTCATCATCCAGGTTTAAAACTTAAGGTAAGTACTTTCTTAATAAGCCGGAAATCGGGGTACAGTGTTGGATCTTTTAGAACTTCCCGCTATCCTATCTCTTATACGAACAAGTGCCATAAGGTCCTTTTGTGAAAGCCGGCTTCACGTGCGCCTCAATGCAGCGTAGAACGGTTTTATGTTGTAAACACTTCCTTGACTACCACCACGTAAATCAGTCAGCTGGGTAATTATCGAAATATCTCAAATTTAATATTGTGCTCTTCTAATACTTTCCTGTGTCATTTTACTAAGAACGACGCAGATGATACAATTTCTGCAATTTCCTTGTCAGGTGGTAGTTTTGGTTATTGCAGGCTGGTACGCGTACGACAAATGCCGACGTTCAACAATACCTTCGATTAAGGCACTACAACGGAATGAACCAAGATAAGGAATGCAACGACTTCTCGAAAAATGTAGCGTGGATTGTTTTTAGTATATCAACAGCAACTTTCATATCTGTGTTAATTGGACAGATTCCGAATATTATCTCCGCATGTCCGAAGTTCTATTTCCCTCGGATGAATTTAGCCAACCATATCCAAACCCAAGTCGATCGATTAATGAAATTTGAGTGACTGAGATCAAAGAAAACTCAGTGTTGCGGTATGTTGGGAAGTAACAGGATATCAATAACTAAGGAAACGAATCCATCAGTTCCCGACAAAACACACCAAGTGACACTTCCATTGAACTTATGGGCGGATTTTCTTCCTCCTAAACACAATCTATTTAATATGTTGACAGGAAGTGACTTGGTGGAAACCCTCTAATACGAGACAGAAATGCCGTTGGTGGGCATCAAATTTAGGAGGCACCTATTCCCACGAAGCACTTTTGATAGAGGGTTTAAAATTATTGAGCGCATTCTTTGCTTACGGTGCTGAGGAGATGAAATTAATCATACAGTAGATTTGAAAAATCGAGCATAATAAATGTGATATCGGTTCCGTTGTGGCTAATATGGTATACTAAGAGTATTTACGAGTTTAAACTCCTAGTCACCTTTACTTCTGTTTGCTACTAGGCAATTCAGTGTTTGCGTACCGAACATGTTTCATCCCAACAGGCACAATATCAACATAAGGTCCACGAAAAAACCATTTTCGCTGTTCGAAGTCATCCGACACTTAACGGCAATTGATAGAATATCACCGAATTCATAAGTTTTATTTTCGTCCCTTCTCTTACAAATTTTTCAGGTGTGAGTAGTTGCCCTTTTCTCCCTATTGCACTTGCCAACCAGAACACAGGTGTTTATGCCACATCTTGGTCAGTATATTTGGGAACACTCATCATTACTCGGAGTTTATATTGTTATTCAAGAATTCTACTAAAATCAGACCGTTTTGGTGGCTTCACTACTGCTTTCAGTTCATATGCCACACAGATCCGCATCCATTTCCAAAATAAAGGAATACTGCGTGCAACTTCACAGTGTTTACAATGTTCGCTGGGCTCAACACGAATGGATTGTCTGGAACATTGTGTTAGATGTACAAATTCGATTTTTAACATAAGCTGACAGAGTTCACAGGTATATAGCGTGCATAAATTTCTCGGAAGAACGTGGGTATGCAATTGGCAAACTTCGATATAATCTCCTGGAAAAATATGAGAGTTTTGTAGAGCTTCGAAGTTCAATTTGGCAACAAAGAGGATACGAAAAGCTATGTAAAGGTTTATTTTTTTATATCGATGCGCTCCTGATCACTAGAATGATGTCCCTAATGCGCCCGTTAACTAATGTTTACTTTTACACGCTTGACACGTTTAACAACATAGGGAAAACGATCTAGCATTGTTAGTGTTTTGTCGGTCGGCTAACTCTCCAAAATGCAAGTTCCATGCATTTCAGACAGCCAGTTGGTTTGTGGTTATACACGATTTCCACAGAAGCGAAAATCTGTGATGTTAAAAACTGCTATAATAAAGCATCTTTGCGTAGAGCGAGAGCATAATAAATTTATGAAACAAATTTGTAGATCGTTACATCTATATTTGCTGGTTGCTACTGTCTGCCCTATCAATCTCTCTGTCATCCTGTCTTTCTGTCACCCTATTTATCATTGATTAATGATTATGAGTAGATGCAAATTTGCTAAAGTTGGACAACAAGGAATAATTAGCATTTGATTTGTACCCCAGTCTATTACCTGTTCGGGTTAAGAGTGCCAAAAACGCTTTCCTAAATATCGCTAATGATATAGGGCTTATCTCGGGATTTTCAATCGGTTAGCGCTTGTTTGATGCAGTGATGCATCGTGTACATATACGTGCACGCGTTTCGCATATTGGTGGAGTGCAACAGAGAGCGTGTCCAAATAGATCCCTGCTTCAACGGGCTTCAGATGAGCCAGTATCCAACAAGTTTTATCGGCACTCTAAATTGCGGTCAACTCTGAGGTCCAAACACGATACACAACGCGCCTTAGTTCTCATGGTAGAAGTTATGTATGCTAAACACTACACACCCTTTATGTTACATTTGTGACTGCGCAACGTTCTCGGTAATCGGTAGCGGACTACTAACTGGCGTTATCCACTACTTGACAAGCTCCATTGGTTATTATGTCAGAATTTCGTAAGTAAAGAAAATACGTACAATGCACCAGGCAGTTGATTGTCAGTAGTTATCAGGCTGTCACAAAATCTGTGTTTATGGTGTCGGACACCGAAGTTTTGACTAAATCGTGGGCAGCTGATAGGCCTGTACTGTTGGTCGCAAGTTTGCAGTATGTGACCGACGGAACACTTTAGTTACAGTCACATTTTGTCAAGTATACTTCTGGTATCACCAAGAAGATCCTACTGTATATTGTATACAATGTGCTACGATTTGTCCCTGGCGTGAACAGTATAGTTTTATTGCAAGCATTGGTATCTGCATCCATGTACGTGATAGATGATTTTGGTTACACCCCCTCCCCGATTGTTTTAGGACAGCCGATTGCTAATTTGTTGATCCATACAACGACTGACATGTTTAAGGCTGTCCCCTCACTAGTTATGTCATATTCAACCAGAACACAAGACCATCGGTAACTTGGGGCTACGCATACTTGGTGAGCCCGAAGCAGGGTAAAACCGGTCTTGGATTTCCGAACAGTTTTCGGCAACCTAATGAGTAGTGGTGCTTCAAGAAGATGTCATAATCTTGATTCAACTAAAAATCCCGTGTACGGGCAGAGATACCTGAGATGAGCAAAGTTTTGCTCCCAGTAGGTTCTCTTCAGTGCATATAAATATAAGACGAATAAATCAGCAAACCGTGACTGGAGCAATATGGTCGGATCAAGGAACAACACGGCTGGTTGAAGCACTACCAGACAGCCCAAACAGAGACTGAGGTATGCAGATTCCCAATTACACTATGACATGAAAAATAAAAACGTTCATGGGCGAGCTGACCTCACCAGTGATTCCGTCTGAAATGAGAGCCACTCGGTAAACTTAGTGCGAAAGTTCTTGGAACCTAAAGTAGCTATTGTTTTCTGACGACCTTACCACATACATGAATATAAACGCTTTTTAATACATACTATGGATAAAAAGGTTGCAGACTAACCGAAAATCCTTCCGGCGTGCCTCACAGGTTCGTGAGATAACAATGGAACAGGAGGGGCATCATTCGCTGAGTGACGCAAGTTTAGCACCCCTAGGTTCTGAGGACGTACCAATTCGTCATGACCAACCAATATTCCCGGCTAATTCGGATATGTTGACAAACGAACAGTCTCTGACGCCGTATGTGTGGTCAAGAGAACAATACAGTGCTGAGGAGTATCAAGAACGTACCAATCACGGAACACCACGTCTTGTTTATCTGATCGTGACTTATCCGCGAAATGGTGTTGTCATTTCCAAAAGGTAGGTAGTGTACATATTTTGGTTATGATAATAAAAATTCACATTAAAATTTTCTATATAAAGTGTTGTAAAACAGCAAATTACTCTGTCTACGGATGCCCTTTAATTCAAGTGGTACAAAAGCGTATTAGTGATATAATATGCCCCTCATTCGGAGGAGGACTAGTTTATGGGTACACAGGATTGCATGCTAGAGAAGTACGACATAATTCTGTTTTGCTTGTCAGACGGACAACTTTACACAAAACGAACGATATATGGACACAGCTTATGTATGAAGTTCATTCATCGCTGAGCACTGTTTGCCTCTTAAAACAAAAGCTATACCATGCAATGCAGCTGTTTGTAATTCTAATGAGGTTCACGCCCGACTAAGGACCGAAGGGTGCGGTGAGCGTCAACTACGATACCGTGGAGGACAGCATGGGTTAATGTTCATCGGGATCACTGAGTTACGCGTTTAGACAGAATTCTTCACTAGCTGGGAAGACAGCCATTGCGCATTTGGACCTTTTCAGTGCACCACCAAAAGGCACTTACCAAGATAAGATAGAAATACCAGAGATAAGTAATAATTTTTAAGTACATTGTTCATATGGAGCAGGAAAAACAACCACACGAAAATATATCATGAGGTAATAGAACCATGGCAATAACTGCACATATTTTACGAAGGAGGAATTAACTGCGATATTTTAGAGGATCTCGAAAAACAACTTAGCTACTGTCTCAAGCAAGTATGATAACAATAATACTAGGTGCCCTAGAAATGATGTGAACACAACACAGTTCAACTGACGATTACGCGTCAGTAGCAGGTGATGCACGACTTGGTAATTGAAAGCTGGAAGCATCTCGTATGTAAACAAAAAGGAACTCCGAATATCAAGTTTCCATTTTATGAACATATATGTCCGTAAAACAAAACAGCAGATATTCAAACCGAATGCATATTTTGTATGAAATAATACACTCATTGCGTTTGATGTAAATAGCTATCAAAATAGGATAGACAAGCGGTGTTATCCTGATATCCTGTTTTTTTTTTGGAAGAACAACATGTCAGCGCTTGCGAATATCAAGTTTCCATTTTATGAACATATATGTCCGTAAAACAAAACAGCAGATATTCAAACCGAATGCATATTTTGTATGAAATAATACACTCATTGCGTTTGATGTAAGTAGCTATCAAAATAGGATAGACAAGCCGGGTTATCCTGATATCCTGTTTTTTTTTTGGAAGAACAACATGTTCAGCGCTTGAGCACCTACAAGTTCTGGGTTCATTTCTACTGTTTGCTTTAACTACTTTGATGTTGATATATTACCGTTTAGAGGCTGATTTATGGCATGAAGTTTCTCCGCGACTTTTAAATCAGGTGATAATTCTGTCTAGCTCTTAGGACGCATATGATAATGATTGTCAGATGAATTCCTATATTGTGCGGCATACGACGAATACGTCTGTTACACACCTCTGTCCGCGCATGCAACTGTTTATTAGACCAATCATCACTAAACTCTTGAGCCAAGTATACGGTTTAGAGGGTAAGGTATTTTGATAGCTGTTTGAGACAGTAGGGTTATGAAACAGGATGGTTTCAGGTGACCGTTAACGGGAACTACTTGGTGCAGGCCTGAGGAGACACAAAAAGCGGCCAATGAGTATACTACTCCGGTGTGTGGGTGGGTGTACCTAATCAAGTCGCTACCATATACGATTACTTTAGCCGCTTCGACTTTACCATCCTGAATTATTTAGATCAAAACCATGTTATGCTTTCTTCATAGGCTAAACCAGACCGTACAAGTACTTTCGAGCGCTGATCTAATGGACAACGACATTTTCTATGTGCATCACGAATGGAGTGACAGTTTGGAAGATATCATTGAGGTGAGTTGTCTGATGGTAAATTTGAGAATAATGCCTATACAAAAACCTTTCCTGGATTTCTCACTGTCATTGTGATCGAACTATTATTCATCCAGCTTAACTGCAGTTTGAAGGTCCAAACGGACCAAAGAGAAATATTACTAGCCTCACACATTTGGTTTTGTTTATTTCTCAAGCTGCTTGCTGTGGACACAACGGAACGCAAAGTTACCAGTCATCCGATAACTGTAAAGGTGAACATAAAACCAAAAAGTGTTCTACATCTTGCTCAGAATGGGCCAACACCAATGCTACTGGGAAGTGCAGTATGGATTTCAAGCAAGTACTTGCAGGCTCAATATTTAGGCGTTGCTGCTGGGGGTAAGTGCGGTTGTTGTTGGGGTTAGTGGAAGCTGTACTTACCATTCTGTAGTAAAACGAAATCTACTGTACCAAATTTGTGAAGCCTGCAGTCATACCCCTATGAGAGGAATAATCAAGGGCTGAAGTTGGGTACAATCGTGATAACCATTGCTTATTCTCATTTAAGCACTAAGGATGCAATCAGCTCGACTTTGTTCGGCGGTTGCATTGAAAAGTTTTTCAGGTGTATAATACAAATAGGAACGCGCTGTCTATTGTTCACTTCTGTTTTACGGATCGATCGTTCATTGTAAGACTAGAGGACATTCCCAACAACAAGCAAGGAAACTATCGATCATACTTCGCCTTCCTCGGAAGGTACATAATCCATTAGGAGTATAGCAACCATGGCATCTTGTTTCTCTCTTGCCACTGGTATTTTTCATAAAATAACAATCTGAAGCGTAGAATAGTCAAATGAAACCGGCACCAGGTGTGCATAATATGCATGCAGTATGAGCATTACGCAGCAGAAAAGGCTAGCTATTAGCCATTTTTTGAAGTTTTGTTGCACTGAACATCTTCTTTAGATTTCATTCACAAAATTATAAAAAGCCCCGCCTCCAAAATTTTGCCAGGTATACAAAGTGGCAACAAATTTGCAATTTCAGTACGTACAGACTTTTTTTAAAAATTAATCCACGATCAAAAGCTAAAAGGTAATTTGAGCGTGTGAAACTGGGAGAAATCGATTTTAAACACTGGGCAAATGTGGTTAGTGAAAGGCAGCAGAATTGGAGTTCACGACCAATTTCCGAACTGTGGCTGTTCTGACGAACCCAAAGTAATTCGTTAGCTAGAACCTAACCTACGGATTTATGGCACAAAAATTAAATGTCCTTATGCACAGTACCATCTAAAGTCAACCAGCTAATTGACTAATGTGTCTAGCGGCTGACAAAAGAAGTCACCTCTTCAGAATAATAAAGCAGACTTTGTCAGTACATAAGAAAGTGACAATGAGAACCTTAGAGGGGCCTGTCGGTGAAGCATATTTTGTTTGTCATCAAAGCCGGTCACCGTATCTCATGGAACACAATATCGTAAGCCTTTTACGTAAGACGACTTGTGTATCGTGCCTGCCAATTCTGGCTCGTATTTTTGGCTCATGTAGTTAGTCGTTCTGTAGTACGCATCATGTCGATTGCATACCTGTTCACGCTCTAGCAACCTTACGAAAGTAGACACTTTTGCGCTAATATCTACCGGTTGATCCTTAACAAATGGCCGTTTTCCATCCCGTTCTTCGTGCCCTGTTAACTTATATAAATCGACACCAATGTGCCCCGTAAAGTATTTGTGACACCAAAGTTAGTAAATACCTACATTGTAGCTGTCCATTTAGTACATATATTTTCGAGCGGAGAGGCCTAACAAAAACCACCTACTCCCAACTATCAATGGGTGTTTAATTTACAATTATCTATAGTGAAAATCAAACTGTAAGCCACACATTTTTGCACTGGACTTCTTTCCTGTTTTGTGAAATTAATTGAAGTTTGGCGTCAAACTAACGGGCAGCGGGACATATCGGGTTTCATAGTGATAGCAACAAAATACCCACTGTGTGGAATTCATTGTTTTCGTTTTTTGAAAGGGCCGAAAATTTTCTGAATGAGAATTGCACGTCTTCTTGACTCCATGCTAGCAAGAATCAGAAGGGGGTCAGCAAATCACCGAATCCTGCGCATATCCGTCATGGAACATGCGGTTCACTCAGAGCCGAGATTCATGCTGTGTGCTATGTGTTGATCATCAGGGAGCAAGACTGGCGGAACCATGTACAAAGTAAGACGTGGAGTAAGACGCGGTTATTCCAATCAAGATGGCGTGACGGCAAGCAATGGATGCACTGATTTTAAGCCTTAATTGTCTTGTCCTCAGTTCGTCTTACGGCGGTATTCATGTTTCTACCCGAATGGACCACCACAAACGTTATCTCTAGATCGTGACTACCAACGTATTGTCTAGGTAGGGTGTGTGTGGCGCCATGTTAGCAGCGGATTGACCACTTCTGCGGTCAACTCGCTGTATCACAGTAGACATAGGAAAATAAGCTAAAACTACCTGATACACATAAAAACTTCTGGAAAACCATTCAGGAAGGCAATAACTCTCCTCGAAACCATGTAGTAGAATTACTGATGACTTCGTCCACCATCGAAGAGGAAGGTCCTCCTCAGAAGGTGTAACTGTTTCTGCCGTGTTGATGTCTCCTATAGTGAATTGTGGAATACGGTGGCGGATATTCGGCAAGGATTCACCTGTTAAAGTTGATTAGGCCACTAGAAGTCAGCGATACGGTATTACAAATAATTTGCACGCAGTTGGCTCAGGTGGCCTGTGCTGGCCTAGGGCGAAAGAGCTAAGACCGTGCACAAAGTGGCCTGTTGGTCAATAACAGATTTAATCATAGTAACAGTATAATAAGCAGCGTAAATATACTGAGCAATTAATCAATAATATTTTCCCTCAACTACTTTACCATTCACTATAACATGAAAATTTCCATGTTAATTGCTCGAGACAAGCCATTTTGAATAGTTTTATGAGCAGCCAGCGCAAACTTAGAAGGAAGGTGTGTTCTCATAAAAAATAGAGCAACGTGCATCGAAATTTTCGTCGGTAGTTAGCAATCTGCAAAGCACTGGTGCCGCCATGTACTCCAATTTAGATTGTCCGGCTCCTGACACAACAATTGGAAAAATATTCTCAGACTTTTAACAGCAGTTGGCTTGTCTATCAAACTTCATGACGAGTGAATTTTTCACGTTCATAGTCTAAAAACCTCGAAGTGTTTTTTTCATCATTTGAATACAAGGGCTTTAATATGTGTTTTATATTTTTCAGCCACCAGGCATAAAAAGTGTGGAACAAGAGGGATAAAAAATAAGACCGGACTACAACAATGTGGTAGAAACATTTGTTACCCTGTGGCGATGACACATTCAGTGCACCGCAAACGTCGATTACAAGGTATTTGATGGATAAACCAGAACAAATTTACTCGGGCAGGAAACGGTAGCACAGGAGTTAGCACGCATCGTACAGAGTTACCGTAGCTGACGTTCCGAAAAAATCTAGGAAAAATATTACGGGACCTACAGAAATAGCTTCTTAACTGTCCACATGCTCGACAGATATCTTCAAACAAGAGGCGTTTGCAACATTTCTAACTGCATACAAACGAAGGCTGGGTTTTGTGGTACAGACTTCGGTACTCAGAAGCATTAAGCAATGTGTGAAACTTTCCTACTCTGAAGGTCTCTCAATATTTGTTTTTCAAATATCCTTATCGCCAAATGAATGATTAGCTACCTCAGGAACTCTGCAACATTTATCCGGTCGGCTTCCCTCTGTCGCTGTGGTTGATTATGAACATTTCCGGAGCGGAAGCGTTACCAAGTGTCTCTTCTCGTAATTCATTAAAAGCTTGGTGACTGGTCTTGAAACATCCAAATTTTGTGGGTGCTGTGAAGAATCAAGAAGGACTATCTATTAGTTCGGTCCAAAACCTACTGAACTCATCATCAGATATTGTAACGGTCTTGCTGGTGATAATACGTTTGCTTGAGGGAAGCTGAAAGTTGACCTCCAGTGAATAACCAACTCAGGATGGATAAATTGAATACCAATAAATAGTGGATTTAACTGGTAGAACCATTTGAAAACCTAAACAATTCTTCCTGCCGCGCACAATGGTCTTGATGATTCGCAACCTTAGATGCGTATCCTGTAACTATTTTATATTTTGGTGGTTTCACCTTCCAATTCTGCTTGGACAAGGCATTTTTTACAGTATCCTTGCTGTTCATGTATCCGATCATATACCATTCTGTATTGCTGTCTGTCTTCATTGCTTTTTGCCATTTCTTGAAGTGTAATTTATATCTTAGTTGACGCAGAATGCTGCAGACGAAAATCTGATCGCCAGACGCTACGTCCCTACTTTCGAATGCGTAATCCCAAGCGGACTGCAGCATAGGGCATTCCGGTCACGTAGCACCCGCGTGTGTTTATTATCGAACAGTCAACTTTGATGACATTTTGGTCGGAAGGCTTCACATGATGGCAGGATAGTTTCTAAAATTGTGACTGATGCATGCCATCAAAATATACACAGTAGTTTGGGATAAAGATTAAACAACACACTAGGCTATAATGGATATTGTGAGTTGAAGAGTGTATTTATTTAATGAAGGCCTAGAAACCAGATTTATTGAATGATTGAGATGGAATACAAAAGCTCACTATACGAAATGCGCAAAGGATATTTCCCCCGAGAGAGGGCAAAACCTTCCAATAAGACGTTGAATGAATGGCTCCACTCGCCTTGGGCCTTAGAGAAAAAATACAACTCTAGCACGTCGAATGGTCAACACCAAGAGAAAACAATTCTCACTCAAGGAAAGTTCTTCAGGCCACAACAAATATATATCCACTACGCCCATTGGCTTGGGTACATGGCCCTGTGAAACTCACAAATGATACGTTACGTCACAATTTAAATTCCACGCTGAAATCCACATGTTTGGTAAGAGTCATCATAAGGTAGACACACTATGTACGTATAGTTTTGCTTCTAGAATTTTACTTTT